CACATTTACTGAACAAAAATGTCATTAACGAACGTTAGAAAGATTCACTCACAAAAAACTATTAATTCTAGAAGACAAAGTTGTGGATAAACAAGACAATAAAGAAAACCTGGTCCTACGACGAGTGACATGTTTATATGAGCTGGAACATCCAGTTTCTACTGCAAATGTTTCTTTTTACATTTTAGTTCAGTGAATGTGTTTCTCATTAAATAAACTATGAAACTATTTAAATAACAAACACCTTGATGAAACTTCGTGTGTCTTGATGGGACCATTGGAAAATCTCTTTGCGGTTTATTTTTTCTTCCTATAATCTGTGTCTTTTTTTCGATATTTCCCTCGTTTGATCCTGATGAGTCATTTCCAGAGGAACAGTGAAGAAACAAATCGTTTTATCCTTTTCAAAGCGTCTAGAACAACAAATACACAACACAACCTGCCCATGTTTCTCTGATGTTACTGGAGTCAGTCACACAGTCACACAGTGTGTCCGGGGTCATGGCGGCGTAGGAACTGTTGCTGTAGGATCATGTGACTGTGCAAAGTCTCTATTCAAAATGTGTTTCATGATGTGAAGATCTGCAGAGACCAAGAGTCTCCAGCTTCTTCCAAACACCTCCACAAACGATTTCTGAATCACACGAGTAAAACTGGAGTAAAGTAAAAGACTTTTACCTTCGGACGTGTTTCTTCTCTTGATTCTTGTGGATAAATTCTTCATCACTGCGAAAAAGTTTGTCCAAAATGTAAAATCTAAAAACTCTTAAATCGATCAGAAGATGAGTTAAAAGTGTTGAAATGATGCATCCGGGCAGAAAATCATTTTACTGGACAAATTCTCTTCAAATAATCGACTCCAGACGAGTTCAGGAGTTAAAACTGAACAGTTCAGGATTAATGTTCATGACCTGATGAGATTTAAATTCTGCTAAATTCCAGATAAATGAAGTTGAGTCTGAGCCTGAACTCACGTCTGTTTCTTTGTGTCGTTTCTGCTGCAAATGGAGCAAAGGATCATGGGCTTTGTAGTTTGAGCTGCTGCAACAAAACTAAAGAACTTCTCCTCTCGTTTACTGTGACAGGAGAAGAATCGAGTCACCTCAGGTCACCACAGATCACCTCAGGTCACCTCAGATCACCACAGGTCACCTCAGGTCACCACAGATCACCTCAGGTCACCTCAGGTCACCACAGGTCACCACAGGTCACCTCAGGTCACCACAGGTCACCACAGATCACCACAGATCACCTCAGGTCACCACAGATCACCTCAGGTCACCACAGGTCACCACAGATCACCACAGATCACCTCAGGTCACCTCAGGTCACCACAGATCACCTCAGGTCACAGGCTCAAGTCCGAGTCAAGTCCTGAGTCCGAGTCCCACCTCTGGAAAAACAGACGAGAACGTTTCAAACTAATAAACGTGTGTAAAGCTTCACTGTGGAACTTTTCTGCTGGAGGATCTGTCAGACGCTTTTCTCCATGGACAAGTTACTGTTTGTCTTTGGAATGTTCCGCAGTGTGGCATTAAACCATTAAACTTTTGGCACGTTCGACGCCAAAAGTTCAGCGTGAAAGACGCGCTGCTTCGAGTCGACGCCACAAAAACACAGAACGACCCAGACGAACGTCCACATGGACCCCGCAAGTGACCTGGACGCTCCGACGCGCTCCGACGCTCCGACACGCTCCGACGCTCCGACGCTCCGACGCTCCGACGCGCTCCGACGCGCTCCGACGCTCCGACGCTCCGACGCTCCGACGCGCTCCGACACGCTCCGACGCGCTCCGACGCGCTCCGACGCGCTCCGACGCTCCGACACGCTCCGACACGCTCCGACACGCTCCGACACGCTCCGACGCTCCGACGCGCTCCGACGCTCCGACGCTCCGACACGCTCCGACGCTCCGACGCTCCGACGCTCTGACGCTCCGACGCTCCGACGCTCCGACACTCCGACACGCTCCGACGCTCCGACACGCTCCGACGCTCCGACGCTCCGACGCTCCGACGCTCCGACGCTCCGACACTCCGACACTCCGACACGCTCCGACGCGCTCCGACACTCCGACACTCGACACGCTCCGACACGCTCCGACACGCTCCGACGCTCCGACCCGCTCCGACCCGCTCCGACCCGCTCCGACACTCCGACACTCCGACACGCTCCGACACGCTCCGACGCTCCGACACGCTCCGACGCGCTCCGACACGCTCCGACGCTCCGACGCTCCGACGCTCCGACCCGCTCCGACGCTCCGACGCTCCGACACTCCGACTCTCCGACGCTCCGACACTCCGACGCTCCGACGCTCCGACGCTCCGACGCTCCGACGCTCCGACGCTCCGACACGCTCCGACGCTCCGACACGCTCTGACGCTCAGACCCGCTCGACGCTCCGACGCTCCGACACTCCGACCCGCTCCGACGCTCAGACACGCTCCGACGCTCCGACCCGCTCTGACGCTCCGACGCTCCGACGCGCTCCGACGCGCTCCGACGCTCCGACGCTCAGACACGCTCCAATGCTTTAACAATCCAACATTCCGACGCTTGCAACATTCCGACGCTCGCAATGTTTCGACGCTCGCAACGCTCCGACGCTCCGACGCTCCGGTCTGAACGCAGCTTTAGACTCAAACTTCTCTGATCAGGGAAATGATTTGGACTCAGGAGTCAAACTTCACAATAAAATAGAAAAACAAAGAATAAAAATATAAACGTGAAAATAAATTCTAAAACAGAACGTAACAAAAAAAGAGCAAGAGACATTATATATATATATACATACAGTATATATACACACACACATATATAAATACAATGTAAAATGTATATAAATATAAATAAAACATAATTATATAAAAGTAAAAGTACAAGTCAAAATAAAAGAGAATAAACAGCTCCACTTCACATTTATTCAGTCACAGGAGGTTTTAAAGCTCAAAACTCCAGAGAAAAACAAACAGTGAGTGTGAGCGGCGTCGCCTCTCCACAGATCTGACCTGGACCTGCGTCTGGTTCGGTCTCCGTGGAGATAGAAAGGTTTATTAATGCCACACTGCAGAACATTCTGGACAAAAAAGCAACAGCGAAGCGTCTGATGAAGCGTCCAGCAGGAAATCGACAGAGCGACGTCCACAGACGCTTCAGTTTTGACTTAAAGGGTTTAACGCTGAAACAGAAACAGCCGCGTTTGCAGATTTACATGGAAATAAAAACAGAAGTGAAAGTGAAAGTGAAAGTGTGTCATCCCTGAGTTTGTCGTTGGGGGCAGATGTCGGTCGTGTCTGTAGAGCAGCAGAAGGCACACGCTTTAAAAACCACTCACACAAAATGGAGGATTCACAAAGCGGCGGCGGCGCGTGCAGGACCCCGCCCCCTCACCACAGACTCACCGGGTCCACGGCTGCAACTCCCACGAGGAACCGACTCTTTAAACAATCAGAAGATTATTTTCACTACATTATAGTAACACTTTATAATAAAACACACAAATCATAAAGTGTAAATGTCGATTTCCGTGACTTTCCTCCTCCTGCGTGAACTGTCCACATGTCCAGACGCTCTGCTCCACCTCGTGATGTCATCAGGTGGTTGTTTTCAGCAGTTTGAACAGCTCCTTTTGCCTTTAGTTCAGTAAAAATCAACAATTTCACAAATGAAATGATCCAGATGATTCTAGTGAAGGAGTGTGGAGTTTAAAAACACAGAGGAGCACTTCCTGTATCGCCACATGATGACATCACGAGGTGGAACGGAGTGTTTTCGGTCTGAGAGAAGATCCCAGCCAGTCGTGATTTAGTCCAGATTTAGATTTGGTTTAGTCCAGGTTTAGACCTGGTTTAGACCTGGTTTAGACCTGGTTTAGTCCAGGTTTAGTCCAGGTTTAGTCCAGGTTTAGACCAGGTTTAGACCAGGTTTAGTCCAGGTTTAGTCCTGGTTTGCTGGACTTCAGGTCAGTGTAAAATAAAATAATTAAACATTAATTAAACCTTTATAAATGTGTAATAAATGTGTAATAAATGTGTAATAACACTTGTTATTTGTGTCTTGTTCATGAGGAGGAAACTTTTACTAAATGATTCGTTAACGGTTCATAAACATTTATGATTTGTAGTTACGCCTCATTATAAAGAGTTACAAATACTACTCGAGTAAAAGTACTGCTCCATAAAAACATTACTCTAGTACTAGTAAAAGTAAAAGTATTTTAAAGTAACTGAGTAAAAGTATGTGAGTACTGTGTTCCTCTGTGAGTTGCAGCCTGAGCCTTTGTGTCTCTGAGCAAGACACTTCCTGGTCCTGAGCGCGACGCCAGAGCCACTGTACGGTCCAGACCCTGCAGGCTAACGGAGCACCTCCTGATGCGTCCCGTCCGTTCCACAGATATGTTTAAGTCTGAATAATGTGGACAGTTTGAGTTTGTTTCGTGGGCGGAGCTGCCGGTGCGACTCCCGCGTCGCTGCAGAGTATTGCCCAAAGGAACTCAAACAGCAGGTCCTTCAAAATAAAACCAAAACCCACAACCCAAAACCCGACCTGAGTTTACACGACTCGAGTTCACGTTTCTGCAGGCGTCGTCTCTTAAAGCTTCACTGTGTCACTTTTCCCGGTCGGTCGTTTCCACGGAGACGCGACAGTTTAATGCCACACTGTGGAACATCTCCACGGAGACGAGCAGGTGAGAGAGTCCACCTCCAGAGTCACACAGAGTCCTGGTTTAGTCCTGGTTTAGTCCTGGTTTAGTCCTGGTTTAGACCTGGTTTAGACCTGGTTTAGTCCTGGTTTAGTCCTGGTTTAGTCCTGGTTTAGTCCTGGTTCAGTCCTGGTTTAGTCCTGGTTTCCTAGTCCTGGTTAGTCCTGGTTTAGTCCTGGAGTCCTGGTTTAGACCTGGTTCAGTCCTGGTTTAGTCCTGGTTTAGTCCTGGTTTAGTCCTTGTTCTTTCAGTTTCTGTTCTTTTAGTCAGTCCTGGTTTATACTCGTTTTATCGATTCTGTTCAGATTTTCGATACTTTTACATTTTATATTTTAAATTTCTTAAAATTTCAAATTCTGAACTGATTCAAAACTTAAAAAAAACTAAAATATTCTGAACTCGAGTCGTTTAAACTTTGAGAATCAGATTTTTGTTTATTATTTTTATTTTTTCTTCTTTTGTTTTTGCAGCGATCGAGTCACATGACCTCAGCGTCCCGGATCAGCTGACCCCGGCGCTCACAGCTGATTGGTCCTCGGCGCGGTGAGGTCAGAGTTTCCGCGCGGCGTGGGGGGGGCGGAGTCAGAGGTCACATGACGGCGCATCTGGACTTGCGCAGTTTGCGTCGCTTCTGCTGATACTCGCTGAGCTCCTGCAGGTATCCTCTAGACGGCCACCGCAACCGCTCCACCGTGTCCCGCTCCTCCTCTGCACCAACACACACCCACAACACATGTGATCCTCTGCACCAACACACACACACAACACATGTGATCCTCTGCACCAACACACACACCCACAACACATGTGATCCTCTGCACCAACACACACACACAACACATGTGATCCTCTGCACCAACACACACACACACACAACACATGTGATCCTCTGCACCAACACACACACACACACACACACACATGTGATCCTCTGCACCAACACACACACACACAACACATGTGATCCTCTGCACCAACACACACACACACACATGTGATCCTCTGCACCAACACACACACACAACACATGTGATCCTCTGCACCAACACACACACACAACAACACATGTGATCCTCTGCACCAACACACACCACACACACATGTGATCCTCTGCACCAACACACACACACACACACAACACATGTGATCCTCTGCACCAACACACACACACAACACATGTGATCCTCTGCACCAACACACACACACACAACACATGTGATCCTCTGCACCAACACACACACACACAACACATGTGATCCTCTGCACCAACACACACACACACACACACAACACATGTGATCCTCTGCACCAACACACACACACAACACATGTGATCCTCTGCACACAACACACACACACACAACACATGTGATCCTCTGCACCAACACACACACACAACACATGTGATCCTCTGCACCAACACACACACACACACACCACACACACATGTGATCCTCTGCACCAACACACACACACACCACAACACATGTGATCCTCTGCACCAACACACACACACACAACACATGTGATCCTCTGCACAACACACACACACACACACACAACACATGTGATCCTCTGCACCAACACACACACACACAACACATGTGATCCTCTGCACCAACACACACACACAACACATGTGATCCTCTGCACCAACACACACACACAACACATGTGATCCTCTGCACCAACACACACACACACACACACAACACAACACATGTGATCCTCTGCACCAACACACACACACAACACATGTGATCCTCTGCACCAACACACACACACACAACACATGTGATCCTCTGCACCACACACACACACACACACAACACACATGTGATCCTCTGCACCACACACACCCACAACACATGTGATCCTCTGCACCAACACACACACAACACACACATGTGATCCTCTGCACCAACACACACACACAACACATGTGATCCTCTGCACCAACACACACACACACCCACAACACATGTGATCCTCTGCACCAACACACACACACAACACATGTGATCCTCTGCACCAACACACACACACACACACAACACATGTGATCCTCTGCACCAACACACACACACACAACACATGTGATCCTCTGCACCAACACACACACACAACACATGTGATCACATGCCACCAACACACACACAACACATGTGATCCTCTGCACCAACACACACACACACACACACATGTGATCCTCTGCACCAACACACACACCACAACACATGTGATCCTCTGCACCAAACACACACACACACACACACACATGTGATCCTCTGCACCAACACACACACACACACACACACATGTGATCCTCTGCACCAACACACACACACACAACACATGTGATCCTCTGCACCAACACACACACACAACACATGTGATCCTCTGCACCAACACACACACACACACACACATGATCCTCTGCACCAACACACACACACAACACATGTGATCCTCTGCACCAACACACACACACAACACACGTGATCCTCTGCACCAACACACACACACAACACATGTGATCCTCTGCACCAACACACACACACAACACATGTGATCCTCTGCACCAACACACACACACACAACACATGTGATCCTCTGCACCAACACACACACACAACACATGTGATCCTCTGCACCAACACACACACACACACAACACATGTGATCCTCTGCACCAACACACACCCACAACACATGTGATCCTCTGCACCAACACACACACACACACACACATGTGATCCTCTGCACCAACAACACACACACACAACACATGTGATCCTCTGCACCAACACACACACACACAACAACACATGTGATCCTCTGCACCAACACACACACACACACACATGTGATCCTCTGCACCAACACACACACACACACAACACATGTGATCCTCTGCACCAACACACACACACACATGTGATCACCAACACACACACACAACACATGTGATCCTCTGCACCAACACACACAACACACATGATCCTCTGCACCAACACACACACACAACACATGTGATCCTCTGCACCAACACACACACACAACACACATGATCCTCTGCACCAACACACACACACAACACATGTGATCCTCTGCACCAACACACACACACACACATGTGATCCTCTGCACCAACACACACACACACACACATGTGATCCTCTGCACCAACACACACACACAACACATGTGATCCTCTGCACCAACACACACACACACACATGATCCTCTGCACCAACACACACACACACACACAACACATGTGATCCTCTGCACCAACACACACACACACACATGTGATCCTCTGCACCAACACACACACACACACACACACATGTGATCCTCTGCACCAACACACACACACACAACACATGTGATCCTCTGCACCAACACACACACACACACACACATGTGATCCTCTGCACCAACACACACACACACAACACATGTGATCCTCTGCACCAACACACACACACAACACACACATGTGATCCTCTGCACCAACACACACACACACACACAACATGTGATCCTCTGCACCAACACACACACACAACACATGTGATCCTCTGCACCAACACACACACACACACACAAACACACACATGTGATCCTCTGCACCAACACACACACACACACAACACATGTGATCCTCTGCACCAACACACACACCACACAACACATGTGATCCTCTGCACCAACACACACACACACAACACATGTGATCCTCTGCACCAACACACACACACACACACAACACATGTGATCCTCTGCACCACACACACACACACACAACACATGTGATCCTCTGCACCAACACACACACACACACAACACATGTGATCCTCTGCACCAACACACACACAACACACATGTGATCCTCTGCACCAACACACACACACACACACACAACACATGTGATCCTCTGCACCAACACACACACCACAACACATGTGATCCTCTGCACCACACACACACACACACACACACACACATGTGATCCTCTGCACCAACACACACACACAACACATGTGATCCTCTGCACCAACACACACCACACACACATGTGATCCTCTGCACCAACACACACACAACACATGTGATCCTCTGCACCAACACACACACACAACACATGTGATCCTCTGCACCAACACACACACACACACACACAACACATGTGATCCTCTGCACCAACACACACACACACACACACACACACAACACATTGTGATCCTCTGCACCAACACACACACACACACACACACACACACACACACACATGTGATCCTCTGCACCAACACACACACACACACACACACATGTGATCCTCTGCACCAACACACACACACAACACACACATGTGATCCTCTGCACCAACACACACACACACAACACACACACAACACACACACCACACACATGTGATCCTCTGCACCAACACACACACACAACACATGTGATCCTCTGCACCAACACACACACACACACACATGTGATCCTCTGCACCAACACACACACACAACACATGTGATCCTCTGCACCAACACACACACACACACACACAACACACATGATCCTCTGCACCAACACACACACACACACACACACACAACACACATGATTCCTCTGCACCAACACACACACACACACACACATGTGATCCTCTGCACCAACACACACACACACACACAACACATGTGATCCTCTGCACCAACACACACCCACAACACATGTGATCCTCTGCACCAACACACACACACACAACACATGATCCTCTGCACCAACACACACACACACACACACGTGATCCTCTGCACAACACACACACCACAACCACATGTGATCCTCTGCACCAACACACACACACACAACACATGTGATCCTCTGCACCAACACACACACACACACAACATGTGATCCTCTGCACCAACACACACACACAACACATGTGATCCTCTGCACTAGAGCCCATCCGATATATCGGTTGGACGATATTATCGGCTGATACGGGCACCACTTGCTGACAGGAGCCGATATTTCCCGTGGGCATGTGATACGTCGTTATAAATCTTAGACTCTCTACATTCTGTTCATTTAATCCAATTTACAGACAGATAAATGTCCAATATTGTGACTCCACATCAGTATTTATCTGTGGAGTCATTTGTCCTGTGTGTGTCGTACTGTCCCTGAACACACCACAGAGTCACGTGTGTTTGTTTACACTCACACACACAGATCCATGTGCAACACTGACATTATTTTCTTTTTATGAACAATCGGTTTGAGTCTGGATTAAAAGGACATTTATTAGTTCAGACTTGTGATGTGGAGGAGCCTGTGTGAGTCTGAGTGTTGAAATATGTCGACTTTGAAGCTGTTTTGATCATTTGTTTATAGGTTATTGATGATCTGTTGTGTCTCTCACATAAACAGACTGTTTTCTATTGATCTGTTGTAAAGTGATTATATTGTCTGTATATTTGTTTCTGCAGCTGCATTGATGTAAATGAGTGTGAACAGACGTGTGAATGATCCACATTTACACATATCATTAATTATCGCGGCACAGCATTTACGGCTAAAGACTAATAGCACTAGTTTCTTTACTCTCTAGTCATGATGAGTCATGATCGAAGCGGCTCTTAGATCCGGCTCTTTGAAGAGAACGACGGGAGCCTGATCCTTATTGGGAGTCGTGTTTTCTTTTTCTCTCAGTTTTTTTCTCTTCTCGTCGTGTTCAGACTCGTGGGAGTTTGACAGCGGCTCAAAATGAAAGTTTCAGAAATCTGTGTGTGATAGAAAAACCTGCATGTTTGTCTGTAGTTCAAAAAAGTAAAATAAATAAACCAGGACTAATCTTGGGCTCGAGAGACACTCAGTCCTGGTTTAGTCTTGTTTGCAACAAAACAATCTGAAGAGTCGGTTCTCTAAAACGAACTGAATCCCCATCATCACTCGTGTCTAGAATGTGACGATGTAAAAATGTCTTTAGTCCTTCTGTCTGTAAATGTGACGTCAAGAGTCAGAAGAACAATAAATGTTTCCTAAATAAACCCAATTTAAAATCCACTAGAGCCAAACCCACGTTTTTTAAACAATTCAAGATTTACAGTGAATTTTTCCATCACTAAATATATCGGTGATATATCGGCAGCTCCAACTCATGTTTTATCGGTTTCTATATCGGTCGGGCTCTAATCTCTGCACCCTCAGAAAAAACACAAAACATGAGCCTCTGCATCGTGTCCTGCTCTTCCTCTGCGTCACATGGCGGGTGCGTGGGCGGGTGCGTGGGCAGGTGCGTGGGCGGGTGCGTGGGCGGGTGCGTGGGCAGGTGCGGTCCTGTCGTGTGTCACTGACCTGACAGCTCCAGGAAGTCGGGTTTGTGGCTGAAGATCAGGTAGTTGTTGGCGATGAAGTGAAGAAGCCAAACGTACAACTGCTCGGCGTTATGACACTGGAGAGACGGAAGGAAACGAACGAGAAGAACGAGAAGAACGAGAAGAAAGAGAAGAAAGAAAGAGAAGAAAGAGAAGAAAGAGAAGAAAGAAAGAAAGAAAGAAAGAGAAGAAAGAAAGAGTGAATAAAAGAGAGAGAAGAAAAAAGAGAAGGAAAAAAAAAGAGAAGAAGAAAAGTGAATAAAAGAAAGAGAGAAGGAAAGAGTGAGGAGCAGACAGTAGACAGGAGCAGACAGTAGACAGGAGCAGACAGGAGCAGACAGTAGACAGGAGCAGACAGGAGCAGACACAGGTGCAGACAGGAGCAGACAGACGGCAGACAGGTGCAGACAGGTGGCAGACAGACAGGTGCAGACAGTAGACAGGTGCAGACAGTAGACAGGTGCAGACAGTAGACAGGTGCAGACAGGTGTAGACAGGTGCAGACAGTAGACAGGTGCAGACAGTAGACAGGAGCAGACAGTAGACAGGAGCAGACAGGTGCAGACAGGAGCAGACAGGTGCAGACAGGAGCAGACAGGAGCAGACAGGAGCAGACAGGTGCAGACAGTAGACAGGAGCAGACAGGTGCAGACAGGTGCAGACAGTAGACAGGAGCAGACAGGAGTAGACAGGAGCAGACAGAGACAGGAGCAGACAGGAGCAGACAGGTGCAGACAGTAGACGGTGCAGACAGACAGACAGGTGCAGACAGGTGAGACAGAGACAGTAGACAGGAGCAGACAGGACAGTAGACAAGACAGCAGACAGGAGCTGACAGGTGCAGACAGGAGCAGACAGACAGGTGCAGACAGGTGCAGACAGTAGACAGGAGCAGACAGTAGACAGGAGCAGACAGTAGACAGGACAGACAGGAGCAGACAGTAGACAGGAGCAGACAGGAGCAGACAGGTGCAGACAGTAGACAGGTGCAGACAGGTGCAGACCTTGGCTCTCCGCAGCAGTCGGACGACGCTGATGCCCGTGGACGCGAGCTCTCGGCTGGGCATACTCTGCAGGTATGCGCAGACGCAGACCTCGCACAGGTGCTGCAGGCGCTTCACCTGGTACATCTCTGCGCAGACGAGCACCGCCATGGCCTGAAGCACCGACGCTGAACACACAAACGTCAACACCGTCAACGACGTCAACGCCGTCAACGACGTCAACGACGTCAACGACGTCAACACCGTCAACGACGTCAACGACGTCAACACCGTCAACGACGTCAACGCCGTCAACGACGTCAACGACGTCAATTGTAACACCCACACTGTGCGCAGGACATCACCAATCAAAATATATTATATATTATATATATATATATATATATATATATATATATATATATATATATATATATATATATATATATATGATTATTTCCTATCACTATATATAAATGATATAATATAAATTTAAATTATATTAGGCGCTTTTATCCACACCGCCAAAACAAAAGTTCATTCAGCCCCTTAATAGTTTTAATTGTCCGCGCGCGCGCCCCAATCAGTCTTTCCTCCGATTAATTTATTTTATTCAGTGTCACCGAATTCCCGCTCACCCCTCTAAAACTGTCTCATAAATCCCAAATTAACGATCTTCAAACGAAATTTATATCCAAAGGGCCGCAGCGGCGGCGCGCGCTCTCGTGCGGCGCACCTCGATCCACGCGCAAAGGTAAAATACATGGAGGATCTCACCGGGTCGAGCTGGGGCCCGTCGGTCTGATCTTTGGCACCGTAAACGTGGTCCAAACCGGTACAGTCCGTTAGTAATCCATGTTTCAGATCCCGAACCAGCGGCACAGCGGTGAGTTGGGGCGGCGCGCGCTCACACGTGTGTCACTTTATACTATTAGGCGCGCGCGTCAGCTGACGTAAACAACAACAGAAAAAGATCGGCCACAACACTTTATGAACAAAGAAAAATACACTTAACAATATTATGTTGCCTGGGCTACACAATGACGTCAACAACATCAACAACGTCAACGACACCAACGACATCCACGTAACGTTATGATTCAGGATCGATATCGTGTTCTGCTGTTTCGATAAATCACCAAGACGATTTTTATGCGTCACATTTGACGTTTTCACTGTTTTGACGATTTAAATGTTTGTGTTTCATGAACTTTGCACAGATTTTGATTTTATTTTTATTGAAAAGTATCGAATCGTTCTGAATCGAAAGTTCACTGTATCGAGGTTTGTATCGTATCGGTCACTTCTGGATGATCCCAGCCTGAATCGAGACTAAAATCAGATCCTTGTGTTCCTCAGGTCTGGATCCTGAAAAAAAATCCCATTTTCAGGACTGAACCTTTAGAACCTTTAGAACTTTTCCTGAATGTGTTTAGAACTTTTCCTGAATGTGTTTAGAACGATCTGGAACTGGATCAGAACAAGTAAAAGACACAGAGACTAGAACACACACATGGACCTAGTTTAGACCTGGTTTAGTCCTGGTTTAGTCTTGGTTTAGACCTGGTTTAGTCTTTTAGGGTTTAGACTGGTTTAGACCTGGTTTAGACCTGGTTTAGTCCTGGTTTAGTCTTGGTTTAGAGCTGGTTTAGACCTGGTTTAGTCCTGGTTTAGTCCTGGTTTAGTTTAGACCTGGTTTAGTCCTGGTTTAGTCCTTGGTTTAGAGTCCTGGTTTAGACCTGGTTTAGACCTGGTTTAGTCCTTGGTTTAGTCCTGGTTTAGACTGGTTTAGTCCTGGTTTAGTCCTGGTTTAGACCTGGTTTAGTCCTGGTTTTAGTCCTGGTTTAGACCTGGTTTAGACCTGGTTTAGGTTTAGTCCTGGTTTAGACCTGGTTTAGTCCTGGTTTAGTCCTGGTTTAGTCTGGTTTAGACCTGGTTTAGTCCTGGTTTAGTCCTGGTTTAGAGTCCTGGTTTAGACCTGGTTTTAGTCCTGGTTTAGACCTGGTTTAGTCCTGGTTTAGTCCTGGTTTAGACCTGGTTTTAGTCCTGGTTTAGACCTGGTTTAGACCTGGTTTAGTCCTGGTTTAGTCCTGGTTTAGTCCTGGTTTAGACCTGGTTTAGACCTGGTTTAGTCCTGGTTTAGACCTGGTTTAGTCCTGGTTTAGACCTGGTTTTAGTCCTGGTTTAGTCCTGGTTTAGTCCTGGTTTAGACCTGGTTTAGTCCTGGTTTAGACCTGGTTTAGTCCTGGTTTAGTCCTGGTTTAGAACCTGGTTTAGTCCTGGTTTAGTCCTGGTTTAGCCTGGTTTAGACCTGGTTTAGTCTGGTTTAGTCCTGGTTTAGTCCTGGTTTAGTCCTGGTTTAGACCTGGTTTAGACCTGGTTTAGTTTAGTCCTGGTTTAGTCCTGGTTTAGTCCTGGTTTAGAGTCTGGTTTAGAGCCTGGTTTAGCCTGGTTTAGTCCTGGTTTAGTCCTGGTTTAGACCTGGTTTAGACCTGGTTTAGTCCTGGTTTAGTCCTGGTTTAGTCTGGTTTAGTTGGTTTAGACCTGGTTTAGACTGGTTAGTCCTGGTTTAGTTTGGTTTAGAGCTGGTTTAGTCCTGGTTTAGTCCTGGTTTAGTCCTGGTTTAGTCCTGGTTTATTAACTCTTTATTTTTCGTCTGAGGAGGAGAAAATGAAAACGATGGATTAAAGTTTCTCAAACATGAATCAGTCCAAATCAAACTTCAGAGTCTGAGAAGAAACAACGAAGAACCCGGAGAAAGATCTGAGTCCAGTTCACTGTTCAGGTCGTGTTCAGGTCGTGTTCAGGTCGTGTTCAGGTCGTGTTCAGGTCGTGTTCAGGTCGTGTTCAGGTCGTGTTCAGGTCGTGTTCAGGACGTGTTCGTGTTTCAGGACGTTTCAGTCGTGTTCAGGTCGTGTTCAGGACGTGTTCAGGTCGTGTTCAGGTCGTGTTCAGGTCGTGTTCAGGTCGTGTTCAGGACGTGTTCAGGTCGTGTTCAGGTCGTGTTCAGGACGTGTTCAGGTCGTGTTCAGGTCGTGTTCAGGACGTGTTCAGGTCGTGTTCAGGACGTGTTCAGGTCGTGTTCAGGTCGTGTTCAGGACGTGTTCAGGACGTGTTCAGGACGTGTTCAGGTCGTGTTCAGGTCGTGTTCAGGTCGTGTTCAGGACGTGTTCAGGTGTTCAGGTCGTGTTCAGGACGTGTTCAGGACGTGTTCAGGTCGTGTTCAGGACGTGTTCAGGTCGTGTTCAGGACGTGTTCAGTGTGTTCAGGTCGTGTTCAGGACGTGTTCAGGACGTGTTCAGGTCGTGTTCAGGTCGTGTTCAGGACGTGTTCAGGTCGTGTTCAGGACGTGTTCAGGACGGGTTCAGTCGTGTTCAGGTCGTTCAGGTCGTGTTCAGGACGTGTTCAGGTCGTGTTCAGGACGTGTTCAGGACGTGTTCAGGTCGTGTTCAGGACGTGTTCAGGTCGTGTTCAGGACGTGTTCAGTGTTCAGGACGTGTTCAGGTCGTGTTCAGGTCGTGTTCAGGACGTGTTCAGGACGTGTTCAGGTCGTGTTCAGGTCGTGTTCAGGTCGTGTTCAGGTCGTGTTCAGGACGTGTTCAGGTCGTGTTCAGGTCGTGTTCAGGTCGTGTTCAGGACGTCAGGACGTGTTCAGGTCGTGTTCAGGTCGTGTTCAGGTCGTGTTCAGGACGTGTTCAGGACGTGTTCAGGTCGTGTTCAGGTCGTGTTCAGGTCGTGTTCAGGTGTTCAGTGTTCAGGTCGTGTTCAGGACGTGTTCAGGTCGTGTTCAGGTCGTGTTTCAGGTCGTGTTCAGGACGTGTTCAGGTCGTGTTCAGGTCGTGTTCAGGACGTGTTCAGGACGTGTTCAAGTCGTGTTCAGGTCGTGTTCAGGACGTGTTCAGGTCGTGTTCAGGACGTGTTCAGGTCATGTTCAGGTCGTGTTCAGGTCGTGTTCAGGTCGTGTTCAGGTCGTGTTCAGGTCGTGTTCTCCTGAAAGCCCCTCATTATTCACAAAAAAAAACACTGGAATGTAACACGAGCTTTTTCCGACGCCTCTGAGTCATGAGACGTTTTTACAAACACACGAACCAACGAACAAATGAACCAACGAACACTGAGCTACAGGTGTGAGAAAAGATTCAAACTTCAGGGAGATTCACAGACAGAGACACAGACACAGACAGAGACAGAGACACAGACACAAACAGAGACACAGACAGACAAACAGAGACACAGACACAAACAGACAGAGACACAGACAGAGACACAGACAGAGACAGACACAGACAGAGACACAGACAGAGACACAGACAGACAGAGACACAGACACAGACACAGACAGAGACACAGAGACAGAGACACAGACAGAGACACAGACAGAGACACAGACAGAGACACAGACAGAGACACAGACACAGACAGAGACACAGACACAGAGACAGAGACACAGACACAGACAGAGACAGAGACACAGAGACAGAGACACAGACAGAGACACAGACAGAGACACAGACAGAGACAGACAGACAGACAGAGACACAGACAGAGACAGAACAGAGACAGACACAGACACAAACAGAGACAGACACAGACAGAGACACAACAGACAGACACAGACAGAGACACAGACAGAGACACAAACAGAGACACAGACAGAGACACAGACAGAGACACAAACAGAGACACAGACAGAGACACAGACAGAGACAGACACAAACAGAGACACAGACAGAGACACAGACAGAGACACACAGAGACAGAGACACAGACAGAGACACAAACAGAGGCACAGACACAGACAGAGACACAGACAGAGACACAGACACAGACAGAGACACAGACACAGACAGAGACACAGACAGAGACACAACAGAGACACAGACAGAGACACAGACAGAGACACAGACACAGACAGAGGAGCAGTAAAAACAGAGTTAGATTTGTCAAAATGTCGTGTTGAATCGACGTTGGATTAAAGTTTCCTCAAACGTGAACCTCTCCAAATACAAAGTTCCGTTTGTGTTTCGTGTTATGAGACTCGCTCTGAGATGAAGAGTCTGTTTTTCAGGAGAGTCCGGGCCTCACACGGGGAGAACAAGCAAACTCCACACACAAGAATCAAACCCACGACCCTCTTGCTGTGAGGCGACAGTATTAAGCACTGAGCCACCGAGATGAATGACCGAGA